TTTTTGCATCAAGACTCATGATGTAATATTTTCTTCATTGCAAAGCAGTGAGCACTATCTAGTCATAAATTGAACTTAAATCCTACAAGGTTATGAGAAATTGACAATTTGTGATTGGGTCTCGAATGACAATAAATGAATTTGGTCGTCTAAGATATTGTTATAAAAGAAACCCCGCCGTGATAAAGCTCTTGTGAGAAAAATCATAAAGCTTTTATCAATTATGGTATTTAAATTGTTATAAAGCTTTTATCAATATGTTATTTAAAGAGTTTGAATTTATATATTCATTCATTTAAATTGAAATTAATGGATGAGAAAAAATTATCATATTACCAATTGGATATATGTCGTGTCACACAATTATGTGGCTTACAAATAATTAGCTAACCGGATACAGAAGTTCCAAAACAAGTGTTTTGTTTTGTTTCTTTTTTTTCTCTTAACTTATTCTTGTACCCATACGTGATGGACTTTGACACAAAACTTATGGTTGAAGGTGAAGTACTCAACCACTACGCTAAGTGGATTGCACCAACTAATGGGTATGAAACTTTTGATTGTTACCACACAAAATCTGGTGGCATTTAGTCGTTGAATGAATAAATTGTTAGATTGAGTTTATTTAGCTCTATTAGCAAATGCTGCTACATGCTTCCCATTCTCATCATCATTCAACTTCTTTTCTGGATAAAAAAATAAGTGGGAAGATTGAAATGCAACTCATTGTCCCTCTTTTAAGTGGTTCAAAATCTCGACAGGTATGACATGAAGGCAAAGAGTAGAATTAACTTTGACATTCATGCTTATAAATGATCTTAAATTGGTAATAAAAAAGGGCATCTTTACGTGCTAAGATTTTATCATGTTTGCAATTTCTAATGATTTTTTTTCCTCCACCAAGATCAATGATTTCACATTTTTTTTATTAAAGATGGTTGCTTTTTCAGTAGCTATAACAAGTAACAAGTTTAGACAATAGTTTAATTTTGTTGTGGGATGGAATTGAGTAATCATTTCTGCTAAGTTATATTCAAATTTGATTTTCCTGACATGCACTTCTCCTTTGAGCAACACAACTCTTATGAAGTGAAGCTTACATCAATATTTAAATATGATTTTCCTGACCTTCACTTCTTTGTCTCCATGCTTCTTCAAGCCACTTGGCCTAGCATAAATTTCTATTTAGGTGGTTGTCTAATGCATTTAGAGTGTTATTGCCTTCCCCACTTTCCGAATTTGTGGTTGAACCTCCATTTCTTTTCCTTTCCAATGATATCTTTGTCATTTGAGTCTGATAGTTATAAGACAGAGTTTCATTTCCTTGACCTTAGGGCTACCGAGTTTCCCTCTGACGACACAATTCATGGGTTGCTGACTAGAGATCTCTGGACGTGTAGGTCAACTACCTTCACGACCAAGTAAACTTATAGTGCTAGTGGCTTGGGATGAGGGGTCTGTGGTACCCTGTCTCGACCACCTCTACCTATTTAGGGATTACTTTACTCTTCCTTTGACTACCCACTTTGAGTCTCATCGCTCCTCTTACGATTGTCAATATTATCTTGATGACCCAATTGCCGATGAACTGCAACCCATTTGGGATACGATGATTTGTCATCTGCCTTTATGGCCCATATGTGTCTTGGCGTATTGGGATTCCCGTCGGGATGATTCAGTTATTTCACAAGCTTTGTATGTCAATGAGTTTGTTACCCGTGCGGAACCATGTGAGACTCCCTCTCCACCTCATGGCCTAGCAGAAGCTTTGAAAGCATTTGGAGCATTCCCTTGTGAAATAATTATCCTTTGATAGCCCTATGCAAGTTGTCACTTCAAATGTAAGCAGAACTCCTCAGATCAAGAGTATTCTTGAGCAGCCCATGAGATGTAATTAACTAAGTGAGATATGTCCCCCATAACCTTTGGTTATGAGTAGCTTTTGTAGGCATTCTTTTGCAGATATTTGACACAAGTTCTTTCGGTTCAATCTTGCTCAGACGTTGTTAATGCTTAACTAGTCCTAGCAATGTTTGTCTCACAGAATTTCTCCACATTCTTTCTCTTGTTTGTCTGTGTTTGTTGTATGTCCTTCTTTTTCGATTCTTTTTTTCTCATAATCATTCACATGATCCAAAAAAGAAACTTATTTAGAAAAGGGAAGTATACAATGATAGACAAGCTGGTGACTCCTTCAAAAATCAAAAGAGAAAGTAACTGACACTGAGACGCGAGGAGTGTTTGAGGTTTTTGAAGGCTTCCTCACATTCAGGTGTCCACTTGAAGCATTGGTCTTTCCTTAGTACTTTGAATAATGGGGCGCATTTATCACCTGATTTGGAGATGAATCTGCTTGACTCTGTGATCATGCTGATTAGCTTATGGTGCCTCTGATCGACGGGTTCTGCTGCATTCTCATAGACAGCGATATACTTGTTGACCATCTCTAACAACTTAGTCAAGCTCTGTGGCTTTGCGAGTTCAAGGTTGAAGCATAATCTTTCTGACCACATTCCTTGTGTTAACGCAGCTTGGGCCATGTCAGGTGTCAGATCCTTAACATACAACATTTCGTTCTAGAAACGTGTGATAAACGATCATAAACTTTCATTGGCTCCCTTTTCAGTTGTCATAGGGATCAGGCGCTCTTCCAGAACCTTAGAGCATTGGCAAGCTACAATAGAAAATTTCTCCTGAAATTTGTAAAACAGGTGATTGCCTCTGCGGGCAACTTGTTGAACCACCTTATTGGAGTCGATCTCAATGTTGTCAAGAATAGCTTACACTTGAGAGCGTAAAATTTTTTTAACATATTTATAGAGAATTTGAATGATGTGAGGTGGTTGTTGGGATATGAATTTCATTTGTATGATTCTAATACTGGCATCTTAAACTTCTTTGGGGGCTCGACATCTAAGACTTGCAATGAAAGGACATTTTTCGGCTATCACTGCACATCGATCTTCACGGTCGATTTATCTCATCCATAGGGGCAGATCCGGTGCTGTCTTGGTATAATGCATCGTTAGGCTTCTCTTGTAGGTGGGTTTCTCTTCTTTCATTGTTCACCGATGGTTCCACTTAAGGGGGTTTGAGTGCCCCTTGTCGACAGGTTCTCCTCCTAGGACTGGGATCGCTTTTAGAACAGCCACTGCTCTAAGCACTTTCACGAATTGTCCTGACATCTAGTTGGTGATTTGTTTCCTAAAGTCTTACAAGCTTTGCAAGATGAATTTTTCCATGAACTTTCTAGCAAATGTTGCTTCTACCGTGTTCCTCTGACTGGATTCTCCCTATTGTTGTTGATGAGTTTCTCTTCTTATTGACGGTATGGTTCCACTCTCACTACACATTAAAAAATATTGAATACAATAACTTTTGAGAAACACACCCAAGGTATTGAACATTTGGCAAAGAGCGAAGAGAGGGTTCAGTGTGAACAATAAGAGTGTGTAACATTTATTTATGATATAGACCTCCTATTTATAGGAATATGCTCCAGTCTTACAAAATTGCAAATTAGTCCCTTCATCACAAGCCTTTAGATGGGCCTTTTAGCAATTACAAGAATATTTGAATATAATATGACCAACAGATTGATTTGGTCGGTAAGAAGTCCGTCAGTCGCTCGTTATGCCCTGAATCCATTGATGCTTGATCGAAGGCTAAGTGACATGCCAATCGACCTTTGAATCGATCGTCGTTCTGTGGGGAATCCTCCGACATGTTCTTCCGGTCGCTCATCCCAAATGTCTTCTTCATCAACATTGAACTTGTCGATCGTCAACATGCACGTCCGATCAGCCTTACCATCCTCCTAAGCAATTCATTTGCCTTGAGATTCGTGCTGACGTATTTTTCATATGCAATTTTAATTAGTATATATCTACTTTATATCAATTAAATAAGATAATATGTAATTTTTTAATGATCAAATAACATAAAAAAAAAAAAAAAAACTAAATAACTAGTTTGTTGAAATAAATATTTAGAATGAGTTGCATTAACAATACATATTCATTAATGACAAATACTAAAAAAAAATTGTGAATATTTACTTGGATAACAAGCACTTCATGTTAATTAAGCGAGATAAAACTTTGCAGTACTTTAGTTTATAATTCATGTTTGAGATAATAAGAGTTCGCCCTTCCTTTTCTTTTTTGCGATCTTAAGAATCTCAATTTTTTTAACAAACTTTATCATTTTTTTATCATACTTGCACTATATGCTTTATTTTCTTAATTATTTTTTGAACATCACAAACTACTATATATAATCTATGCATGTTGATAGAGGAATATACTTCAGTTATTTGTTCAAGATACTTACTCTTTTAAAATTAGCTTTTGTTAGTGACAACATGTAAATTTTTTATAGGACTACTTGAGAATTTGTATATGTAAAGCGATTTTACACATCACTTTATAGATCATTTTTTGTTTTCATAGCCATAAGCTTAGGCCATGTAAATAGTCTCTTAATACGCACTGTGTTAGAACACATTTTAACATATGATTGGTGGAGCTCGAGATTGAAATTCATGATCAAAACCAATGACAATCTGTGGTCGTGTGTTTCATCATGGTTGAAAACACATAAATATATTATAATTATTTTTTTGGAGTAATTCCTTTTGTCGCTAAGCATGTTTTATATGTCTATTTTTTTAGCATTCAATTCATTATTTCTTCTTATAGATTCACTTATAGCTTATTGAATTGTTATCTTTTGATTTCTCAACCATCTTTTATGTACTGTTCTTTCGTAATGAATTATTTTCTTCATCTACAATATGTGCCCATAATTACTTTTCTCTAGCGATTATGACTTCTAGCAAATTTATTTGTTTCCTATTTTTGAAACTCTATAGTTATTTAACTTAAAGCTATTAAATTGGTGTAGCTACTTAGATGGATATCTTATATTGTTGTATCCCTTTATCCTTTGGCATTTGCAAATTCATAAATGATTATATTCTTCGAATAACAAAGTGCAGGCTCTTCATCCATTAAGTCATGTATACACGACAAACAATGACTCATATAATCCCCTATTTGAGGTCCTTCTACTCTATTTTTAATGCTATCGTATTTTTTCACTACAAGATGATTGAGTTTTCGACTTGGGCTAATACTAGAGTACTAATGGAGGACCAACATACAACCCTTTATATTATGCATTATAACATAATAAATTTTCTTTTTCAAATAAGCTAGATCTAATGATTTTCCATTTTCTTCTTCTTTGTGTTGCATTATTTTTCTAATTTTATATAAAGTATTCATTAGAAGCCTAGATAATAACTTTTTATTATTGTGAAATTTTACATTAAAATTAATGAAATCAACTAAAAGATTATAGTTAAACTCTCTTTTTAACTAAATATTTGTAAATCATAATTATAAAATATGAGGAACTAAAAAAAATGTTTAAGAGAATAACTTTATTTATATGACTAACTAAAACATTACATTACTTCAAATATAATCACTAATTGGTTCATTTAGATCCATATCATTAGAAAACTCTAAAAATTGAAATTACATTGTCATATAATTAAAACAATCCATTAAAAACTCTAATGCATTTGATATATGATCAAATAATTAATGTAATCACTCTAACTTTAGGGTAGTCACATACATTACACTCATAATTATCTAAGTTATATAGTTAACTCTCCAATGTTACTATTTATTCATATAACATTTGACACTTTCAAGTAACATAAAAAAAAAAAAAATCACTTTACATTAAATCTCTAATGCCTTTTTACGCGTCGCCCTCCTAACTCTTCTTCATCATCAAGAGTTCCAAGATTATTGTACATGACATTGATATCTTCAATGCCTTCTTTCGGGAGATCTTGTCACAATTTTTTCTCATCTTCTTTATCATTGAGGATTTCAAGACTCCTACCCACCTTCATCTCATTGATGGCCTTCCCCTAGCGAGATCAAGTCTCTCTTCTTTGTATTGGATGAATTCCGCACGCCCTTGATCCCTCGTGCCCCTTCTCAATAATATCAATTTATCACTTCCGCACAACCTTCAAATGGGCTAATCATATTATATTAGGTAAATAATAAGATTTTTATGTTAATTATTTAAATTAGATAGATTATATTTACATACAGATATTTTATGTCTGGATTGGTGTATATCACCATAATATCATCAAATTTTCCTCTATACTGTCCACGTGTTATTTTTTTTTTCTTTATAATGAGGATTTGAAGTTATGACCAAGGTTGGAGCGATCGTTCAATTAGTTTAAAACTTACCTTATGTTGATTTATAATGTTGGGCAAAACAAATTGAAAGAGGGAACGAGCAAGTAGTGTCTCTGAGCTCGAAAATATATTACGTCTGAACGTTTGCACGTCCGGATGACCAACTGCTGGCTCTCATATCGCCCAACACAGATGTGTATGACAATGTGGGGCCCAAAAGTTGGCCGTTCGGACGTGCGATGTCCGAACACGAAGGATGGCAACTTGAACACAGTGGTATGTCAGAGCACTTTTAGGTGGTTGGTATGTAAATAATCTGGTTTATATATTTGATAAGTAAATATAATAATTTTCGGCGGTTTATATTTTTAAATCGCCATTTATATCAAAAAAAGGTTTACAATGTAATAGTTGTTGAAGGGTTAAATTATTTTGGATGCCGCCGTAGCAACGGAGGATTTTGGCACCGACCTCCGCTTTCCTCACCAACTTGGCGTTGCTCGCTTGCAGAGTTCATCCCATCGTGTAAAGGCGAAAATGGTAGCTGATCTCTCTTCCCACTTTTTCTCCATATCTTCTCATCAGAACCTCAACAGTTAAAAGAATTTATCATTTTTCGGAAACCCTAACTTAGTATATTTACGCTGCTACATTACGCATTTTCTTGCAGTCGGTCACCCTCCATACGAATCTCGGGGACATAAAATGTGAGATATTCTGCGACGAGGTGCCCAAAACCGCCGAGGTAAACCTCTCTTCTTATTTCTTTGTTCATTGTTTACACATTTGTGTCTTCATTTTTGATTAAGCTCGATGAAGTTAAGTTTTAGGGCACAAGAATTAACCTAGATGAATAACTGAAAGAACTTACCAGGTCTTTCGCGAGCTCAAAATAAGGGTTGATGAGTAGGTAGTCTTCAGTGTTCCAACTTAAGTGGGGGATGATTCGCTATTGTCATGCTGCCTCAATTTGTAATGGATTTCAGCAGCAATCATAGCTAAATTAGAATTCCATAGTTGCAAAGAGGTGCGAGGGGAAAGATGTTAATTCTAGTTTTTATCTGCTTCAAATGGTCTAGTACTCTAGTGTTGGGAGAGATGTGAATAAATTGTGAAATTTGATTCCCACGATCTTAAGCAAAATTTTGAACAGAAGAGTACAAATAATAATAATAAAAAAACACACACACATACAAAGAACATGAGATTTAATGTGGAAAACTCGAGAATAGAGAAAGCCATGGAGTCAAACCACGCCGAGAATTCCACTAAGAAGAAAATAAGGATAATTGTACAAATTACATCACACTCAAGTCTCTCTAAATTTTAGAACTCTGTAGGATGCTCCTCTGCTTAGCATAAGAAAAATCAAAATCACATGCTCTCCAATCGACAAAAGATAAACTTTAATTGGAGAATGACTCAATTTTAGTTATGGGCGTCAGGGCGCTAGAGAGCTGCATTGGGTTTGTTGTAATGTCATGCTCTCAAGTTCTAAAGCCTAGACTTGGCATTGTGGTGCCGTCTTCTGGGCACTACGGTGCTAGGTTCAAAAAAAAAAAATCGCCCCTAAACCCATTATAGTGGTGAGACCCTCCCGTACCCCCCGACAAACTCACCGACAAGCTTGATCGATGAAACATAGGGATTTAAGTGAACAATTGATTAACACAATCAGACTCAACATAATAACAATTTCTCACTTTGAGACTCATTTCAATCAAACTACTTCTCCAAAACTACAATATTTTCATAGTTATGAACTGTAGTGCCACTCGACCCAGCCTCAACTCCCCAAAACTTCAATTGAAGCTAACCATAGCTTCAGTTTCTCAACTGTCACCGACTTAGGGGATGTTTGGTTGCATATTAGATTTAAGTTAAGTAGGATTTACTAAATCTGGTAAATCCAAATTTATTAAATCCTGTGATATTAAATCCAAATTTGTGTTTGGTATTATTTCAGTTAAATCTAGTTAAATCCATACCAAGTGTAAGACATTTGCTTTCAGGATTTAATAGACAAAGGAAGATATGCAGCAAGCCATTCTCTTAAATCCACCTCTAGATCGGATTTAGTAAATCTGGGATTTCTGTCACACCATAGAAACTTCTGGATTTAGCTGACGACATAATTTAAAGGCGCTGAATTTGTGTTCGGTGGATTTACGTTAAATCCATACGTTAATACACCAAAAAAATAGCGTACCAAACATCGCCTTAGTGAATGCATCTGCAAGCTTCTGAGCTGTATGTATCTTCTTCAAAGATAATTGATCATTCTCTTAGAAGTGAACGGATAAAATGATACATTAGCTAAATGTTTTTTATCTCGACTTAAATGTGATGTTCTTTGTTAGATGAATGACACTCATACTATCATTGTGAAGTTATCCATTCCCTTGCTCCTTGTCAAGTTCTGTCACAAAGTTCTAAAACCAAATCATTTCCTTGTTAGCTTCAGTGATAACAATATACTTAACTTTTATAGTTGATATAACAACAATCTTATGTAACTTGGAAACCCAAGTCACTATTTTGTTCCCAACAATGAAGATATAACTTGTTGTACTTCTTATACCATCAATATATTCTACAAGATCTGAATCTACATACTCATATATATTACTCTCGACACTTCCAAAATAAAGTACTTTGTTGACTATTCATCTCAAGTATATAAGAATCCACTCCACCGCCTCCTAATGATGCTTGCTTGGATTAATCATGTACACACTGACCACTATCAGTATATGTCCAATATGTGGTCTTTTGCATATCATTGAATACATCAAACTTCCATCAACTGAAGCATGCAAGTTTCTTCTTATCTGTATTTGCTCTGCATCGGTCTTAAACAATTGTTTCTTAGATAGTTTTTAAGTGACAAGATAACAGGGTGGAAATTGATTTTATCTCACTTATGTTGAATCTATGTAGGACCTTTTCATCATATTCTGTCTGAGACAACTTCAATATACATGTACTAATGTCCCTGTTGATTCTCGTATTTAGAATTTTATTGGTTAAACTTCAATCTTTTATTTTAGTTGTCCTTGATAATTGCCCCTTTAAGTCCCAAATCTTTTTCATATATTATCTTGCAATCAACATATTATCCACGTACAATAGAAGAATAATATAACAATTATCAAAATATTTAATGAAGCAACTATGATCTGACTGACACTACGTGCACCCGCTATTTGGCATAATCTGTGAAATCTTTTGTACCATTTTATTTATATCTGCTTCAAACCATAAAAGCTTGTTATCAATATACAAATCACATCTTTTTTTTGTTCTTAAAACTTTATATCCCTGTGATTTCATCATATATAGTTTTTCTTCTAAGTCACCGTGTAAAAAAACTGTATTCACATTCATCTGCTACAGATGTAGATCCTCCACCGCTACTAGGCTCAACATAACTGTGATATTTGTCATCTTTGTTACAAGATAAAATAGCTCATTGTAGTTAACTTCTTTATTTTGTTGCAATCCTTTCACAATAAGCCTCACCTTGTAGCTTTTGGTATCATCTGATTTTTTTTCAGCCTATAAACCCACTTATTGTGCATTGAATTTTTATCATATATAATTTTGTTAATGTCATGTCTAATTTGGCATTAATGAATATATCTCATCATTCATGCTGACTCTCACTCTATTGAGTCATTAACTTGAATGAACTCATCATTACAGTTTGGTTCACCATTATCAGTTAGCAATAGATAATACAATGAAGGAGAATACATGTGTTGGTCGTGAGATTCTACTGGATTTCTTGACTTTAGTGGTAGGTGTCTGAAGAACTCCTTTTGATTCATCAGATTGAACATATTTATTTTCTTCATATTCTTGATCACTGGTGTCTTCTATCTCAACATATTTGAATGGATCTTCTAAACTAACTGATTGATGATCCTGCTATCTATTTCTGTTTTTATATATCTCTATTTCATTGAATGTGACATCCTTGCTCTTAATTAATATTTGATTATGATAGCTCCAGAATTTGTAACAAAATTTATCTAAGTCATATCTAATGAAAGTACACTTGACAAATTTTGAATCAAAGTTACTTTTGGATTCTGTATCAAAATGAATGTTGACATCATTTTTTGTGAGGTCTCTTTCTCTTCTTAGAGCATAGGGTCTATCCCTTAGGGTTTCCTACCGGCTCTCTTAAAGAACTAGCCTGGGGCTCACACCGATTAGAAATTCGAGTCACCTCTTGACTCCTCGCAGTTTTATGTGACTGGTTCTAAAATCTTCAACGCTTAGTTGAGTCGATTAAAACCAGCACGATGAAACTCGAGTCGAGTACCCTTAGGATCTGAAACCCTAGGAAAACCCATTGCAATCTCTGCGCGCTTACAGGATGCACGAATACCATAGTGCACACAGCGATGCACACAATTATCTAGATTCACGCCACCTGCACCCGTAGGAGGCTCTACGATCAATCACAAGCGATTATTTTAAAGGAATTCGAATTTGAGGTGTTTTCGACTCGGCTGTCAACGAGGTTGTCCAGACAACTCCGAATGGCGAAATGGACCGTGTCGGCACGTCCGAGACGTTGAATTTAGCTAGGGGGACACCTATTTTGATATGTTGCATATTGCCCACATTGGGGATTTCGTACTTTATATTATATTATTAATATTTTTTTAATATAATATAAGATATGTTAAAAGGAAGGGGGGCTGAGCTTTTAACCTCCCCAAAATCGGGACCCCCTCTGGTTTTCGTCCCAAGCTTGATGCTCTGGCTCCTCTTGTGGGTTTGTCATCTCCCTTCTTCATGCCTGTGCTTGGATTGAGCCCTAACCGCGCATCTCCTGGCTTGTTTTCTCCTCCTCATGTGACGAGGAGTTGACTTTTCTCCTCTCGACATCCTCTGCCCGAAATCTCCTCTTTTCGAAGCTTTCTGCTTCATCTCGCTGCGCAAAAGCTCATTCGGGGTAGGTTGACTGGGTGTGTGTGTTCTCAGGGTCACGAATGGAGAAATTTCTTCTCCTTCCCTATCTTTCTTCTCTGTGGCCTCGACTGGGGTGTTGTTTTTTCTTTCGGCTAGGTGTCGTGCTTTGTCAAGAGAAGTCCCACGAGCTCTTTTTTTTCTCTTTGGTGTCGATAAAACTTGGTGGGGGAGAGTTCTCAGGGAGGTTACGAAGTTTGAGGCCTGGGGAGGTTCTGCGGAAATTTCTTCTCGGCTAGGTGTTTGTGAGCTTGGAGTCCGAGAGTGTTGTGGCTTTGCTTGTGAGCTTGAGGTTTAGGAGTGTCAGGGCTTTCTTTTGTTGATTACAAAAGCCCGAGCAAAGTATGTTTCCTCTCTCCTGCTCTTCTTCCCTGCTCGACACATGCTAGAGACGTTTGCGGGAGATGCTAAAAGAGGGGGAGGGGTGGTGGGGGGGGGGGGGGGGTTATTTTGTTCCCGACGACATTTAATGCTGGAATCATGGCTAATTATTAGATTTTAGCTTACTTCAGTCCAAGTACATGCTATTAGGCCTGTTTTAAATATTTCATGGTACTTAGCTAAGAATGTAGGCTAATGAAAGACATAGTTTAATTCTTATGCATATGTAAGCTTCCTCCTTACGTTCTTATCACATCTATGCTGGTATGTTGAAGTTTAGGGGCTGTTTTAGGGTCCGTTTGGCGCGGCTTCCTCCGCGCGGTGCGGCGGGAGGCCGCCAAAAATTACTGTTTGTGGCAGGGCGTCTTGATCGCGGCTGTC